TTGCAGATTGTGTTGTTCCTTGATCTTCTAAATGGATCCGGCTTATTATTTTATGGAGACTGTTAGAGTAATTTTATAAAAAGTTAGCTTGAACTTTCAATTATGTCAAAAAGAGTTTCCGATTCTGGAGCTGCCAAAGGATCAATAAAGCGAAAGCATGTTTCGATGTACCACTTCCGATAGTGAAGAAAGTGACAGAGAAGTTATTGAAAACAAAAAAAAATTCGATTCACAAGTTAGTTGGTATTCTTGACACAGCAATTACAGGACTTGAACAGTGGAACTGAACAAGAAATTATGTCTGTTTATAGAATTAAAGAGAAAGTATGAGCACAAAAAACGAAGCAACTTAAACAACTTACATCGAAAGAAATGTTTAATAAAGTAAACAAAAAATATTAAGCTTTTTCTTTTGTAAATTTTGATGCCCTTTAGATCATAATTGCTCTTTATTTCATAAATTACGTTTAATATTTTTAATTTTATAATTTCTGCATGCCATCTTACCAGATTTAAATTGATGATCTATAATCCGGAATCGCCGAAGTCCCGACGAGTCCGGATTAAAGACTTTGTACTGTAATGGTTTCTGACATAATGAAGTATTTAAGACCTTAAGGAAATCAAAATTTACAAAAAAGCTCAATATTTATTTGTTTGCTTTATTAGCCCAAGGGACTATTAGTCTCAAAACGGCATTTTGTGTCATTTCACTTTCTGTATTGGTTCCATTTTCAAACTGTTGCTACCAAATATTATCGCCATGTTTAAAAAAACTAAATAATGAAGAATCTGCATGAATGTTTCTTGCGTTGTGAAAAAACGATGGTACCTAGAGCGATAAAATTTGGAATAAAGTAGTTCTCCAATCGAACATGGGCACTTGGAAGCCCAAATTTTTAATTTTTTTATCTATTTCAAATTTTGTGAAATTTTAATGAATTTATTAACAAACTCGATGATTTCAAAGCAAGCTATGGCAACCAGTGCATGGAAATTTTTTTTTTTTATCTTCAGCATGCGAGACTGTGTAGTGAAAATTCTAAAGATATGCTGTTTTTAAATATTTTGTGATATTGCTGTTAAATTGAGTTTTATATGATTTAAGTGCGAAGAATGTGATATTTAATAAACAAAGGTAACACACAAAACATTAAAAAAAAATGCCCTTTTGAACATAATATGAAATCTGAAAGCTTTCAATTTTTTTTTTTTTTTTTTTTTTTTTGCTAATACCTTCTTTTTATTTATATTTCTTATATTCTATAGATAGAAATAATTTCTTTTTCAAAAAAAAAAAAAAAATTTAAATTTTTTTTTTTTTTTTTTTTTTTTTTTTTTTTTTTTGTGTGTGTGTGTGTGTGTGTGTGTGGTTTGTGTGCTAATACCTTCTCTTTAATTCTATAGATAGAGATAATTTCTTTTTCAATTTTTTTTTTCTACTAATACCTTCTCTTTAATTCTATAGATAGACATAATTTCCTGTTCAAAGTTCCACTGTTTAAGTCCTGTAATTACCACATTGAGAATTCCCACTAAATTTTTTTCATTCTCAACAACCTCTTTATCACTTTCTTTGTTACTGGTGGCAATATTTCTGGATTTAGGATCATGTAACAAATATTAATGTCTGTTGATTGATGCTTGGGGCATTGAAAGACTTGTGTTATGAAGTTAAAACCTTTTGTTTTGATTGAAACTGTGCAATGAAAAATATAGACACTCCAATAAAAAACTTGTGTTATAGCATCTATATTTAATACCACTTCTCTACAAATTCCATTAACTGAAAAATTTTACTTTTTGTTCACAATATCTGGACATGTTCAATTCGTGGTTATCATCATAATGCTTAGCAAGTGTCCATTACATGCTATTGGCAGCTATTATGAGATTACCGACTAAAGACATATTATTTCTCTAAATTTCATTTTTGTTCAGGAACGTGTACGAACTCAGTTAATACACAGTAATTTTTAATATGTTCATTTTAGAGTAGATTTTTTGTGGCAACAGTGATGTTTTGCTATATATTACCTTGAGCGTGATAACGCACAGAATGTTACTTTTGGATATGTTTAAAATGCTAAATAAATAAGTTCATTGTTAATTAAAAAGGTTTCCTCTGTGAAATATATTACCATTCGTCCAAAGTTATTAAATAAGTCAAGAAATTGGATTAATTTCAAACAACTGGCGTCCGGTGACAGGACGGAATGGCTATTTGAAGAAAACACAACAATGGTTTGAAAACGAAACATCGATTTCGTATCGGAATTTATCAAGTGAGTTTATGATTTATTTGATTATATCCTTTATTATTTGAATATATTGGACATATTAAATTTAAAATCATGGAAATTTTATTAAGAAAGCGTAAGCCACTAAGGCAATCGTTTACGATTGCTGCCAATGCTTTAGATGCTGAAATTCTAAAGCCTGACATGGAAGTTAATCAACTCCAAGTATTGAGCTCACAGTTGGAAGGAAAATTCAACAGATTAGATGAAGTTCAATCACAAATTTACGAACTTTTGTTGAAAAGTGAAAATGAAAGTGAGTATTGGCTGATTTTTAAACGAATGAAACACATCATGATAAATATATCAGTTTAAGAATAAAAGTAGAAAACAAAAGGATGAATTTCCCACTCCTGTAATTACACCTGGAACTTTAGAAAATTCCATAGGAAGAAGAAACTTTAAATTATCAAAGTTGGAGCTTCAAATATTCAATGGGGTAGACCCAAAATTGGTTAGGATTTTGGGGACAGTTTAAGAAGATTGACCGATGAAGATGTAAATATAGATGACGATGATAAATTTCAGTACCTATTGCAAGGCAAATGGTTCGTTGGATCCCCAAGCAAGAGAGCTCATAGATAGTTGTCCTCCCTCTGGTGCGAATTATAAAGAAGCTATCAAGCAGCTAAAATCTCGATTTGCACGAGACGAATTACTGGTTGAAATCTATGTTCGTGAATTATTAAAGCTGGTTTTGGCTCAAGCTAGCAAAAAAGGAAATATGATTCTATCCAACTTATATGATAAGTTAGAGACACAACTCAGAGCTTTGGAGATGCTGGGGGTAAAAAGTGAGATTTATGCAGCTATGCTGTATCCCCTTGTAGAGTCTTCACTACCTGAAGAAATTCTGAGGGCATGGGAGCGATCTCGCCAGTGTAGGGAAAGTGTTGCACACACTGAAAATTTATTGCATTTTCTCCAAATTGAAGTTGAAAGTGAAGAGTGTCCTCAGTTGGCCCGTACAAGGTTTTCTGCTCTAGACAAATTTGACTCAGTTCCAGCCACAGCAGCTTGTATTTATACAGGAGATTCAAAGAAGAAACAGCTTAATTTTTGTGTTTGGTGTGACAAGGAAACACATAATTCTTATGAGTGCTTTAAGCTGCACAGCCTTTCATTGGAAGATAAGAAAAATTTACTAAGAAAGAAAAAAGCTTATTTGAACTGCCTAAAAATTGGGCATGCTGCTGAAAAGTGTAAATGTTCTGTGAAATGCCTATTTTGCAACAAACATCATGTAACGGTGATGTACAGAGAACTAAAAGGTTCTAGAAATTCAAAAAAGGAAGCAGCTAAAGCAGCTAATGAAATGAGTGAGACTTTATTGTCTAACCAAAAACTGCAAATATCTCTTCTCCAAACTATTATGGTGAAGATTGTCCATAATGGAAAAAAGGAACTTGTGAGAACTCTTTTTGACAGTGGGTCACAAAGATCTTACTTATGGAAAGACATAATAAAGAGACTATATTTAGTCCCATTAAATTAAGAGACTTTGAGCCATTTGATTGGTGGAGTTGAAACTGAATTTTAGGTCCATGGTATTTTTGATATCGAAATACAAGGAACAGAAAATAAATTCAAATACGAATTATCGGTTTTAGATAAAGTCAAAATTTGTGGATACATTCCTAGAGTGAAACTCAAACCTATATGTTCCTCAGTTCGAGAACATAAAATCAAAATCAGTTATTCTGCTAGAGATACACCAGATATGGGAGTGTTAATAGGAGCCAACTATTCCGGTCTGTTGATGACGAATAATATCATTTCAATTGAAAAAAACCTTATTGCCATTGGAACAAAATTGGGTTGGACCCTACAAGGTCCAGTGCAAAGTCATAATACTTTGCTTGATACTGTCAGACTTTGCTATTTGGATCTCACAGAACTATGGAATTTAGAGACAATTAGCATAAAAGATCCGGCGGAAGTGAAGACTAAGGAGAATTTAGACACTGAAACGATCAAATTTTTCCTAGAGAACATTAAAGTAATAGAGGGCAATATGTATGAAGTCTATTTACCTTGGAAAGATAGTCATCAGACCCTTGAAGATAATAAAGATAAAGCGGAAAAAAGACTTTTCAACAATACACGAAGACTGCAGAAGATGGGATTTTTCGATGAATATGATGGTATTATTAAAGGCTGGCACGAGGAAGGTATAGTTGAAATAGCTCCGAATAATAGTGATACTGGTCACTATTTATCTCATCAAGCAGTAATCAAAGATTCCAGTCTGACTATGAAAGTGTGACCTGTATTCGATGTATCATTGAAGGATGAAAATGGGAATTCCTTGAATGCTTGCCTTGAAAAGGGGCCAAATTTAATAGAAATGCTTCCAAAACTTTTGATACAATTCCGGCAACATGCTATTGGTGTTACTGCCGATATAAGGAAAGCTTTCTTACAAATCAGCTTGTATGTCAGAGACTTTTTGAAATTCCTGTGGTGGAAAGATTCAAACAAAACATAGATTGTTACCTACAGACACTGTCGTATCGTGTTCGGCATTTCTTAGAGTCCATTCCTGTTGGGAGCAACGATTTCTTACCATTTGGATAATGCTGCACAAGATTTAAGAGGAACGGCACTTAGATTGAAGAAATCCTTTTATGTCGACAATTGATAGCTAGTTTCGAAACCGAAGAAGAAGTAGTCAAGTTTAAAGAAGAGTCCCAAACTCTAATGTTTTCAGGATGTTTTGACCTTAGAGGGTTGACTGCTGCACCACTCAAAGATAGAAGTATGACTTCCTATCAGAAGATCATTCCAATTCTGGGACTCTCATGGGACACCGAGAATGATGAAATCTATTGCAATTTAACCCCTTTGACCTTTTTCGGAGAGTGCCCACACAAAACGATCTCTTCTGTCAGTCTCACAGAGGGTATTCGACCCCATCGGATTTACAAGTCTAACCACGTTAAATCCAAAACTCATTCTGTAAAATCATGGAAGATGAAACTTTCCTGCAATGAAAATCTTCCACAAGGTATAGAAAGAGAATTTCAGGCTTGGCTCAAAAGACTACACTTCTTGAATTATTGTAAAACTTCCAGAAGACTTGTGATTGGACCCTTCGATGACTGCTCTATCTCTCTACATTGTTTTAGTGATGCTAGTGAGGTACCTTATGCAGCATGCATTTTCTTACGTGCATATTTTGAGGGCAAAACTTCAGTACAATTGGTATTATTTAAATCAAGAGTAGCGCCTGCCAAAGAAGTAACTATTCCCAGATTAGAGTTGCTTGGAGCACTTACAGCTACTCGGCTGTACCGTCAAGTCATTGACGCTCTTAAACTGACAAAGTGCCATATGTACCTTTGGAGAAACTCATCTGTAGTTCTGACAAGGATCAAAAAAGACTCCCACTGGAGTGTTTTTGTGGCCAATCGTGTAGCTGAAATAAGGAGATGCACAAATCCGGATGACTGGCATTATGCACCAAGCTCAAGCAATCCAGCTGATCATCCCTCTAGAGGGTGCGATGCCAAAATATTGCTACAGAGCAGATGGTGGGAGTGGCCAGATTGGCTTAAATAAGAGTCGGATAAATGGCCTCTCTCTGAAGAATCAGAATTAGAGACTGATGAACTGAGTAGAGAATATGTTGCAGTTTCCTAAAATTGCAAGGGAGGATGTTCAGGACGGTTATTCTTTGCTATGAGAGTCGACAGCAAGTTGTGGGCCGCCAGATGTCGCTGCTAGTGAAAAACAGGTCTGCCCGACATCCTATATTCTCTGAGTACGGAAGTTGTAGAAAGCGCGCAAAAAAGTGTTGCCGCGTCATCAATCAGGGTTGTGCAGTAGACAGTGGCTTTGTATATGTTTTCGTCGCTGATTTTTTTCATATTTAAACGAAGAATACGGTTGTAGATCTCTGAATCGGTGGCAAATTTATAGAAAATATGTTGATGCTTTTGCTCTGTCAGAAGATGTTTTCATTGCGTATTTCAGATTGCCAAAATTTATAGTTATTTTAATTTGCGATGAACTGATAGAGTATTAGGAGCCACATTCAGAAAACAAGAACGCAGTTTCTACTGAAAGAAAGGTTATTTATACTATTCCTGAAATTTTAGATATAAATTGTAATTATATGCTTTAAAAATGTAGAAGATAATAAGTTTATTAAGCACATATAGCCATCCGATAAGCTTCTACTCCATTTATGTACAGCAAGAATTACGTTTATTTTAAAATCTAACAGTTGAATACCTTACGAACAATACTGTACACAAAAAGGAATATCGTTCATTATTACGCGAAATTCACACTACTGTCAAATAAAAATTTAAAAAACAATTATAAAAGTATAAAATAGCTTTATAATATTTTTTCAGTAGCAGTACTACTACTAGTGCGATACTTTTAAAAATAAGTTTTAGCCCAGAGGGCTATTAACTTCGTTTTGCCATTTTGTAGCGTTTCACTTTTCAAATCGTTGCCACTAAATATCATCACACTGTATTATATTTAAAGAAATTAAATAATGAGAAATCTGCATAAATGTATGAATGTTTCTCGCACTGTGATAAAACAACGGTACCTAGCGCCATGAAATTTTGAATAACGTAATCCTCCATCCTAATATAGGCATCTTGGAGGCCAAAATTTGGAACTGGGAATTTGTTTTATTATCTATTTCCATATTTTGTAAAGCATTTATGAGTGTTTGATTAAGAAACTGAATGATTTCAAAGCGAGCAATGGCAACATTGTACGGAAAAAAAAAAAGAGGAAAAAAACATTTTCATCTCTAGCGCACGAAACTATGTATCGGAAATTCTAAAGGTATGTGCTTTTTAAATTATATGATTTTGCTGTTGAATTGAATTTTATGGTTTAAATGCGAACATGATATTTAATAAATAAAGGTAACACGCAAAAAATTAAAAAAAAAGGGGGGGGCCTTTTGTGTGAGTAATATAAAATCTGAAAGCTTTCATTTTTTTTTTTTTTTTTTTTTTTTTTTTTTTTTTTTTTTGTGTGTGTGTGTGTAATTTTATTACGCTTTAAAAGTGGTTTCTAAGGGAGGACTTTCTGAGGAAACTGGCTTGTATACACATTACGTATGGGAAAAGCCACGAAAATGCCGATGCGGGCAGCTTTATCGTGGGATTCGAACCTTGGACCAAACTACCTGCGTTCAGCGACTTGACTGCTCGGCCACTGGTTGGCTTACTAGCAGAATTAAACTGTATTATTATTTTATTATGCTACAAAGTAACAATGCTATAAGACTGAGACATACTTTTAGAATTTTCGATACAAAGTTCCGCGCGCTAGAGACGAAAATGTTTTTTTTTTTCTTTTTTGTTCATGGAATAGTACTTTTGTAATCCATTAATATTAAAAAATCATTGTTTCTTTGCAAACTTAAAAAAAAAGATACTGTTCATAGTAGAGTTCTCATTTTTATATTGTAAAAGAGATATTGACTATTATTAGTTTTCTATTTAATGTGTCGAAACACTGGTTTGACAAGGACTTCAACTGCAGAAAAATATTTAAAGAAACAGTGTGAATCTGGAAAAAAATCACCTTCAGTATACTTAAAAAACACTGATAAATTTTTAAATTAATCTGAATTAATATAAAAGATTTTCTTATATGAAATTATCTAAGTGCATTCAGTTACAATATTATTAATGCGAATATCGTTTTGTGTAAAGGTAAAGAAAATATTTTTTCGCGCTAAATTAATTAATAGATTATTTATTTTCAGCCAAAAAAAAAGAAAAAAAAAAGCACGAAAATCCGAGTTTAAATTATCGCGAAAAGTCAAAGAAACGTTTTGTCAAAGAACGATTCATCTTAAACCCTGTTCCTCAATTTCCTATATACGTCATACATTGATTATTTTTACTTTGGTATTTGCATTGTGAAAATAATATTGCTATCTTTCTAATTATTTTCACTAGAACAAAATATTTTGAGAAGGAAGAATATTTAAACTTAGCAGTTCTATATATCCATACAGAAATTAAAATAACAGCAATGTTATATTGAAAAAAAGGTATTAGTAATTGTGTGACAAAAATTACAAATACGAATTAATCACACATACAGGATAGATTAGTATAATTTTGGTATATATTTATATTGAAAAAAATATTTTTTTCATGTTAATTATAGAATAAATTATTTAAAATAAAACATTTTGATGCGTGTGTGTGATAGCTGAATGCAGCAGCAATCGGCCGTACTGTAATAGCGAATAAATTTTAGTCCTTTTCCTGAAAGAAATAATTTTCATAGAAAAGAAAATAAAAAAAAGGAAGAAATGTTTTCTTTCTAATTTCTTACTTAAAGAAAATTTTTCTACTATAACTGTAAAATAAAATGCGTGAAAACAGCTTAATGTAAGCATATTTAAAAAAAAAAAAAAAAAAAAAACTTAGTTTGCATTTAGATTGTAATGCAAGTTAATCATATTATAAATTTAAATGATTAAAATTGTTTATTTCTAAAAAGATTTGAAGTAAGCTCAATTCATTTACTCATATCTATTTACCGTTGCTTTCATGGTATCCCATATCACTCTATATTTCTTAGTCTCTAAATTCCTGCATTAACTTTCCTCTTTAAAAAACGGGATTTTCCTTAAAAAACGGATAACATAGCAGCATATTCTACTGCATGTGTTGGTCATAATACTGTTTTGTGCCATGTTTTTTTCAAACTAAAAATACAGCATGTGAGTTAGTGAAATAATGGGAAGAATATTACTAGAACTTTCAGCCAGCGCGCGCTATAAATTTCGTCACTCGTCTGTACTGCGATTGGTCTAAAGCTCCTTGAAGCCTAGTCCCCTTTCAGTAAAGTCAAATGGACCCACCCGCCCACCAACTGAGGACCACAGAATGGCTTTCTCCGATAAGTTGTGATGGGTTGTCCATACCGATTTTTTTGAGTCAATATTGTTCACTCAAGTTGTAGACAGATCCAGTGATCATAGAATAGGCGTCCAGGAACGTGTACGAACCCATTTAATACACAATAATTTAATATGTTCGTTTTAGTGTAAATTTTTTGTGGCAACAGTGATGTTTTTTTAGATATTGCCTTGAGCATGATAACACATGGAATGTTACTTTTGGATATGTTTAAAATGCTAAATAAATAAGTTCGTTGTTAATTAAAAAGGTTTTCTCTGTGAAATATATTATCATTCGTCCGACGTTATTAAATAAGTCAAGAAATTGATTAATTTCAAACAATTTTCATTCTATTGCACACTATTGAAATCAAGCCTGAATTTTATTATTTTCGTCATTTATTATACTTACACATATTTTCCGCATATGCTGAAGGCTTATCTGAATCTCAACTAAATAAAATCCCACATATACTTAAGGCGGGTCCAGGGCCAGCACTAGACATTTTTGTGTCCTGGTGCAATCTCTGTGGATCCTAAATTCCACTTCCAAGTGCCTTCTTAAATTCTACAAATTTTGCTGCCTATAAATTTTGTATCTTGGTGCCTTCTGTAAGAAGATTTAGCCATCCTTTAATTTTGTTGCTTAGTGCTAAAATTTTGTTGCTTAGTGCTAAATTCCAAATTCTAAAAAATTTGTCTCCTAAATTCTTCTGCTCGGTGCAGCTGCCCAGCTTCTGCCCAGTCACCAGCTCTAACATTGGTCCTGGGCTTATCTGAATAACTAATTACTTAGTCTCAGTTCAAATAGCACTAAATGTAATCTTTTGGCCTCTTAGTATCATATACAAAATCTATGTTTTCCATATGCAAAGAAGTTTCTGTTAAATTTCTTCTTATCAACACATTCAACACTTTACAGCTGAATTCTGTAATCATCGTCAAGCAAAAAATAATAAATAATGATTCACCAGGTTAGCATCAGATATGTTATTCAGTAGGTATGAAATGAGTGATATTTCTAATGTATCAGTTTGAGACATATGCCAACAGAAAAGTGACTATTTCAAAATTATTGCTCATACAGATTTATGCTAATGAGTAATTGTTTCTTCAATATGGAGGTATTTTATTTAGTGCCAGAGGTGAAATTAAGAATTGGGATTCTCCACATATTTTATTATGAAAAAGTAACAAATATGTTAAGAATCAGGACTCTCCAAATATTTATTTCATTATGAAAAAGTATCAAATGCATATGGGTTAAAAAAAAAAAAAAAGATTGCTCAGGGTCCAGAAATCCGGATTTTAGATTGTTTCTGATATTGGATGTCTGGATTTTGGACTTTGTATTATAGTGAAAGCTTGATTATCTAGCATTCACTGAAATTAAACAAATAAGAAATTTGTATGTTATAAAATCGTAATAGGGCTGTAATTTGAAGTAAACAAAAACTGTCACCAAATAATGTGATTTAGTGCCAATAATGGATAAGCGAAATCTTACTCTTTGGCTTTATGTAACCCAATGAACTATTGATAAATCGGCTTAATTTTTGCAGAGAGACAACATTAAATTAAATACAGTCAAAAGTTGTTAATTCGGACACCCATAATCCGGAATGATCTATAATCCGGACCTCAAAGCTAAAATCTTTCTGCGCAAGCGCCGTGTTGATGCATGCGCATAGGCATTTACGACAGCGCAAGCACAGAATACGTTTTCACATGCGCGTTTAATGTATAATGGACGGTATAAGCTAAAATTATCTCATTATCTATTCAGTTAATGTTGATGATTGCATTGTTCCTTACTCGAATTGGATCCGGCTTATTATTTTTGCAGACTGTAGAGCAATTTTATAAAAGTAAGCTTGAACTTTCATTATATCAAATAGAATTTCGATGCTGGAGCTCCCAAAGGATCTACAAAACAAAAGTATGTTTCGATGCCATCAAACAAAAGTGGAATTGCTAGAAAAAATGGATAAGGCATATCCTTTGTTTATCTAACCGTTCCGAAATCTGTTTATTCAATTTCACGCTGCTCTGTGCGGGGGGGGGGGGACGCCGTGGCACGCAATGAACTGGAAGTTGATCTGTCAGCACTATCGTTATCTTCAGGAAGATGTTTTTATTTTATTCGGCTTATAATTCCTTACTAAATGTAGTATTTTCATCTCGATGTACTCCGTCTTTGATATGTTTTTTTAAATCAAATTCCCTCGTCATTATAAATATCACGAATACAAAATCGTTTTCTGGTTGCAATTTTTTCTAATTTTCAGCTATGCGTAATGTATGCTTACGCATGCGCGCGTTGAAGAAAGAAATGTGTAATAAGTAATCAAAAATAAATATTAAGCTTCTTTTTTTTAAATTTTGATACCCTTTAGATCACAATTGCTCATATTTTATAAAATTACGGTTTCATATTTTTAATTTTATAATTTCTGCATGCCATCTTACCAGATTTACACTGATGATCTATAATCCGGAATCATCGAAGTCCGGATGGACTGTACTGTTTATTCATTTTTCAGTCACATTTTGAAAAAAAATTATTAAAATTTGGGATTTGTTTTCAGCGGAATAACATCCAGTGGAGTATTTCAGATTTATGGAATCTTCACATCAAGAAAAGTGTGACATATAAATATGACCAAACAGGATGGAAAAATTATGACAAGCAATTTTAGTATTTTATATGATATCTTGCATATTTTGATTTACTAAATAAAGAGCAATCTTTTCCTTCATATTTCTGCTGCTATAACTGATGGAAATTTACCGAGTTCACTGCCGGTTTGATCGAATTACGTAATTAAATATGAAGTTTTACTTCTGCATTTATATCTGGAATGCCCTTTTCTCTTTTGACATCTTACATAATTTAAACATAAGCATTTGATAGTCAAGCTCATAAAAATAAAATGACTATTTTTATAATTTTTAGACTGGAAATGCTTTCTTCCATTTGTTTAGCTTATTCCATTTTTTACATTTTTTTTTCGTATCTGGAATTTGACATTTCCTAAGCTTCCTGCAGAGTTAAGTTATCACTGTATTTAAAAAGTAAAATAAAAAAAATTCTAATTGAATCTGCAAATACTGCTATTTTTACAGAAGAGATAGAGGTGTTCCAATAGTTTTAAGAGCCACTAGATATCAACTAAACTGGACAGGCTTAGGGTAGGCATATGTTTGTTAATATATAAGAGATTTTCTTTAATATTGATTTGTATTTTTCATTGATATTAATATTCAGCATTACCATGTCCCAGAGTTAGCAAATTTGAAAGGTCCAATCTGTATTTCGAAAAGTCTTTACATATTACTATGTTAAGAAAAAACTTCAATAAAATTGGAATAGTTTTTTTTTTTTTTTTTCCTGTGGTTTTTATCTTAGTAATTACTTTTCTCAATTTACATTATATGTAAAAAAGAATTATTTTATGCATGTTATGTGAAGAGAGATATTTTACTAATAGAGGCAATGCAAAGACAGATAATGAAAATAAGGCATACTTCATTACATTCATGGGTCATTTTCTTTTTTCACTTTTAAACCTGTTTCAGGGCTGATGTTAGAAGAGAAAAAATGAAAAATCAGTTCTTTATTAATGAAACAAAATTTCTAGTATACCAGGGTGCAAAAAGTTCTCCATTAATATTTTTCTATTTCTGAAGAACCTCAAAAGCAGTGGTTCTCAACAACTTTTTTTTTTGTCCCATGCACCTCTTTCTCACTGCTGGAAGATCATTCCCCTTCCCTTCTCGTCAAAACTAAAAAAATATACATTTATTTAGATTTAGATTATTTTTAGCATGTTTTATGAATTAAACAGTAAAAAATATAGAAAATGTTGATAAATACAAAACTTGAATAAAATTAGTTTTATGTTGGTAAATTAAAACTAAATATTTAACTAAGTAAAAGGCTGACTGCTTTTCCTCCTGAAACTGTGGAATTATTCCCTATTCCAGAGTTTTATTCTATATTAAATTAAATTAAGATAGAATTGACAGAGTAATTTGCTGTTATTAAAAAGACTAATAGCATACAATTAGTAGAGAAATGTTTTGTTTTTATGAACTAATTAGTTCTAATAAGCAAAGCAATTTATAAAGTGAAAATTCATAAAGTAAAGTAAGTTTCTTAAACAGAGTTTTGCATCCAAGAGATTATAGCCACATCAAAGGTATGTAACTATATTTGTTTTTTGTATCAAGTGAAAAAATTGGACTATTGATTTTTTAATTTACAGAACTTAATTTTTTAATTGATTTTAGACAAGCAAAGTATGACCATTATTCCATTTGAAAACATGTTTTTTCCCCTATTATCTTTGTGTTATTTTCTTTACAGTTTAGTAGTCTTCATGGAGATTTTAAGAAATGCATAACCCAGAAAAATTTTATGGTGGTCATATTAATTACCTTAAACAACAGTAAGTATGTCATTGTTATGAAAATTTGAAAGAAGTATATTGAACCTCTTTGCGTATATAATTATTCTGAATTCCTATTTTTCTTGTTCATTGGCAGAAATGCAAATAAGCTACAAGCACTCATGTACACCTATCATTAGCAGAACACTACTTTTCAGTATTAATATTCTTTTTTATTATTATTATTGATTTGCATGGAATAAACTCAATATTTTTTTCCCTTCATCAGATGCGGTTTTCTTTAAAAACTGAATAATGGTTGCGGAGAAGTTCCCTATACTTTTTAATAATATGATGTTTTTGAAAATATAATTACATTGTTTCAAATGTTAATTAACTGAATTTTCTTTGTTGCTACTTTATTCTGAATGTAGAAATCTTTACATAAGATTTCCGTAAGTTCTTCTGTAAATTAAACTATTTTTAATATATTTTACTTGTCCGTGTAAATTTTAATTTGTTTTCTAAATGCTCTTAAGCTAGTAAATTAGTCAGATTTTGATTTTTAAAAAATATCTGATTTTATAGAATAAAAAGGATAAAAGTTGCGATGTACAGGTTCAGTCAGAAAATAGCTACACATTTCAAGTAATTGTAAATGTTTGAGTAAAAGTAATTACTGTTTGTTGTAGTGGAAACTGGTAGATGGTATGTTAAACAGGGAATTTAATTTTATAATTTCAAGTAAGGGTCACATATCTGAACTTGTGTCACTAATCACTAAACATGCCACAGCATGTTACATTTGCAACTTGGACATTTGTATTTATAATTGCCCATGCTGCAAGTGATTATTCTCTAAAATAATCTTGGTAATGATCTGATTAATAACTAATTATTGCTTTAAATGGTTAGGAAGCTTTGAGACTAAAACATGATTTTAATACAGTTTTGTTGCTGTCAGCTGTAAGAAAGGTGGGGGAACTGCAATTTACAATGAAAAACATCTAGGGAAAATAATTCTCTGGAAAAGGCTCTCAGAGCATTAATAAAGTGGATTTTTCTCGTATTGCATTAAATAGGCTGAACAGAATCTTAATAAAAGTAGAATTTTCCAAAATGTCAACTTATCTGAGAATATAATGAGGTAAAAGTATAGTTTAGGGTACCCCTTGGCGATTTTTGGTGGTACATGGATACTGATTTTGTGCAATTTTTTGACTCGTTATATTGGCTTGCTTTGTGTAGGGGCGATTTTTGTGCCAAAAATCGCCCCTACACAAAGCCAAAATAACAAGACAAACAATTGCATAAACTCGGTATCCATGTACACATTTGACTTATTTTCACTTAAAAAAAAATCCCCGAATTGCACAAAAATGGCATTGCGCACTCCTTTGACACATCCATGTACACGTCAACATATTTTCACTTAAAAAAAAATCCCAGAATTGCACTAAAATGGCACTGTGCACATCCCTTGACTTTATCTATGTATACATCGATATATTTTACTTACAAGTCAAAGTAGAGAGAATCATTCTACAATATAGGCAAACAAAAAATACATAATCTCAATAAAATACATTTAAAACCAAACAATAAGATAACATAGAAAAAGAAAAACATGTTATACATTTAAGCACTACCAAAGGCAAATATTCACTTACCAGGATTTTCAAGTTCGATTCGTACACCCAGAGCCACATAAAATTCAAAATATCAATCATACTCAAATGACATTTTTTTAAACCAGGTACTCTTTCTGATCGAATGCTTCACATAGTGACCATCTGAACCTTTCTTCCTTCAAATCCATCTAAACAGTTTTTGCGTTCGACTAGACGCATATCCTTCCTACATACAGGACACTAATATTGGCTGCTAAGTACACCTTCATTTACACACCAGTGAATTAAAGCTCTTTTTCCCTTTCGCTCCAAATCGTACAGAAACTTCAAATTAATCTTGCTACATTCGGCCATTCTACTGTCTAAAGAATCAAACCAACACACACCACAAAAACGCTTACAAAACATCCCATGATGGAAAATTTCCCAGAATCATGCATCCGATTACGTCACAATAGGGTTTCTTTAACATTCAACTACTCAGGCTACCATAAATGAAACAACAACATGGAGATAAATCAAACAACAACTTTGCCATATTACAAGGGGTACCTTATAATGATTCAGAACTTCGAGATAAGATTTCAACTTCATCAGATCTTGCTGTTCTTATGTATATTGAAGTTGTTAATGAATGTTGTATTTAACTGTTAACAGTTTTAAGATACGTATTTGTTTGGATTGCCCTCGATAACAGATAACAGTAAAAGATGAGCTGATACCACTGTCAAATGCAGTGAAAATTTTAATGGTACTCTTCTGTTATCAGGACCAGATTATGAAATGTATGTATTGTTACAGATTTGGTATTCAATTAGTTAATGTTAGTGGAATTGTAAATAAAATTGTTTTATTCCCCATGCAGTGCAGCGCCTGACGAATATTAAAAGAAAGCTAAGCTGGAAAATTAAAAATACAAGAGCGCGTGCATTTAATAATATCTCTTTTTATAAATAAATATCTCTTTTTGATTTCGAGAAATTGCTAAAACAATTGCACATGATTTACAAAGCTTATAAAAAAGAGGAAAACCTCTCAATTTAGTTGTTAGTTGTTGTTTTAAGTGTTTGTTTAGAAAACTGCTCTTGTTGACTATAGCGAATTCGCAGATTAGCTTTCTCTAGCTTTTTTGAATTAAGTTCTGTTGAAAGTTTTAGTAGTTAAAATATAACTGCTGTGAAATATTGTAATACTGTACGAATATCTGAGGAAATTGAAGCATTTTGTTTTATTTGTTGTGATAATAATAAATTTTATTTATTTTTCATCGGACTTGTGCATTCAATTCAAACGAACCCGTACACATGCAACAGTATACATACATGCATGTATGGATGTATGTATTCATGTATGCATGTATGCACATACTTACATATATACATGCATACATATGTACATTTCTGAATCTGCTCCTGATAACCGATCCAGTCCACTGGTTTTGGTAGTATATTTCAGTTGAGCAGCAAGCTTTTCTTAGGTGATATTTTAATGAGAAAGCATTTGTATTAGTTTTCAGATATCTATCAAAGTAATCTTTTTGCTTTAGACAGCTGAAAGTGACTTTTTCTTACATTTTTCAATTTTTGTTTTAGCTCAAAAGAGCTATTCTCGAAATATGATTTTGCATTGTTTCATTTTTCATTTGAATCTGTTGCCATTTAGAAAAATATAAGATCTTATTCATTCATATTTGATCTGTCTGCTATTAGTTAACAAACTAAGCTATTTAAAAACAGTAGATGCAGTTTTTAAGAATATATATATTTTTTTAACCTGATTGATTTAAATAAAAAAATTTTCTCTTAATGTTTGTGTTTTTGAAATTATAGGCACCAAAGCAGATGTCTTTTACAGTTGAAGAAGAATTATCATATACAGAAAGAAAAGCCATTTCCTGCTGTTTTTAAATCAAGGTAATACTTACTACCTCCTAAAAAAAAGCTATTGTTTTAGGTTGTAAATTTAAATTCTGTATTAAAATTTCTTGTACGTACACAAATTTATTTGCATTTATGCCTTTCAACATTGACTTTTTTTTTAACATTTTCAATACATCTAAACGATCAGAAAATGCAAAAATGAATAATACAGAAGCTGTTCAATCAAGGTCTTTTTAAAATGATTTTCAGCTACCATTGGCTGAGTGGTAATCTCACTGAACATTAGTAGTTTGATACAGGTTTGAATAAGGTTTGAAATGGGCTGGACGGCTTTCCCTTTTACATTTTCTTTAATAATACTGAATAATATTTTTTGTTTTTGATTCCTTCTCAGATAATCGTCTGGTTTTTTAAACATGCAGGTTGGATGGACCCTCAGTAGCATGGAATGTGTTCAAGCGACTAAGTTTAGCTGTTTCTTTTGCTGATTCTTGTACTAAGGTTAAAGTATACGTCTACTTTTCTTTTAAAAGTGCTATTAAAGAATCATTATATAATTAATATTTCATAATAGGTTGTAGATGGAATTTTTACAAATATTAAGGTTAGAGCTAATAAAAGTTTTATTATTTAGCTGCTAAGAGTAGCTGTTTAATCCTTTCACACTTATGATTTCTTCAACTGTTGGAGTTTTGGGCTTATGCTATGCATGCTTATAAATATAGAAAAAATAAAATGAAAGAATTTTAAATTTCTGGGAAATATTTTATATTTTATCAATATTAAAAGCGTATCTTTTGTTTTTAAGTTACATAACACATATCCATGTATGTATTAAAAAAAAGCTTTTCTAGAAACAACATTTTAAAGTTATACCTAAGGTTTAATTAATAGTATTGTAAACATACATACAGTCAAAAGTCGTTAATTCGGACACCCATAATCCGGAATAATCTATAATCCAGACCTCAAAGCTACAAACTTTCTGCGCATGCGTTGCGTTGATGCATGCGCATACGCGTTCGCGTAAGATCTTTACGGCTGCGAATATGCGTGTGCGCAAGCGCATAATATGTTTACGCATGCGCGTTTAATGTATAACGGATGGTTTAAGCTAAGCTAAAATGATCTAATTCAGTTAATGTTCCAGATTGCATTGTTCCTTAATCTTCGAATTGGATCCGGCTTATTATTTTTCGCAGACTGTTAGAGCAATTTTATAAAAGTAAACTTGAACTTTCGATTATGTCAAATAGAATTTCTGATATATATTTATTTATTTCTGATATATATAATATGTAAAGGATCTACAAAGCAAAAGTATATTTTAAAATCCGAAATCTGTTTATCAATTTCACGCTGCTCTGCGGCAGGGGGGGCAGAAGTACCGCGGTGCGCAATGAATTGGAAGTTGATCTGTCAGCACTATCCTTATCTTCGGGGCAGATGTTTTTATTTTATTTGGTTTATACTTCCTTACTAAATGTAGTATTTTATCTCGATGTACTCCGTCTTTGATATGATTTAAATCAAGTTCCTCGTCATTATAATTCGCTTCTGATAGTGAAGAAAGTGACAGAGAGGTTATTGAAAACGAAAACATTTCGATTGACAAATTAGTCGGTATTCTCGACAAAGCAATTATATGACTTGAACAGCGGAACTTTGTAACTAAACAAGAAATTATGTCTGTTTAATAGAATTAAAGAGAAAGTATTGTCACATGAAATGAAGCAACTTAAACAACTTACATTGAAAGAAATGCTTAATAAAGTAAACAAATAAATATTAAGCTTTTTCTTTTTGTAAATTTTGATATCCTTTAGATCATAATTGTTCTTTATTTCATAAATTACGGTTTCATATTTTTAATTTTGTAATTTCTGCATGCCATTTTACCAGATTTAAACTGGTGTATAATCCGGAATCGCAGAAGTCCCGACGAGTCCGGATTAACGACTTTTGACTGTATTATGTTTTAATATAAATGTTCTAATTTTATTATTCTGTCTTTTAAAAATTTTCTAATACACGTTCTTGCTCTTAGTATAAATTAAAAAAGTATAGTTTTTGTAAATAATAATTGTTAATAATTTATATACAGGATTGTATGGTTTTTTCTTTTGAAGAGAGGTTACCAGAAAATCCAGGTCAACGACTGTTTCTTGTAACTCATCCTCAACATTTATGGCTTAATCACAAGTTAGTTTTTTAAAGTTGTTTAATTTTATTTATTATCTATTGAAAGGTATATTTACATATATCTCATTCATAATTACTGTATTTGACGGCATATAAGATGCACCCTTATTTAGAAGGCCCCACACACAAGGGAAAAAAGTTTCAGTAGTCCGCGCGAAAGCGCGGTACGTACCACAATAACTTAGAATGTGATTTCTTTTAGTTCTCACGTTTCCTAAAAGCCAAATAAACAATCTTTGAATGCAATTACCAAACATATTTTTATTAAGGAAAATTACCGAAATGCCTTGCTGAAATTACCAAAATACTGCTGTTGGAACGAAATGCCTTGCTGCTGCTCTGTTTCCAAGCACTTTGGCATAGTTTAACACTCCTAGTTTATACTGAATTGTATAGCTTAATCTCTTGTTTCCTGTAGTCATATTTTTTTTAAACAAATAGTTTTAAGCACCGATACCGACACGTATATACAGAGTAGCACCGATACCGACACGTGTGTCGGCTGAGTCAAAGAAAGTCTGTGTAAAGAAGGAAAGGCTCCACAGGTGTAATGTGATCGTCGAACCTGTTCAAACTTCAACATCAGCTTCGAGCTTTGGCGCTTTTTGCCGACAGATATTTCACGCATATGCAAAATAATTATGGCAGATGTAGAAAAAGTTATGTGTGTCTAGACATTTATCCAGGCTAAAAATAGCATTCAGTATTGAAAAGTTAACCTGTGTCCTTCATGTATAAGACGCAGGTAACTTTTTTGAGACCAAATATAGGAAAAAAAAGTGCGTCTTATATGCCGTCAAATGTCATATAGTTCTCTCTGTTATGTATTCCCCCTAGCCTTAGCACATGATTTAGAGATTTCTATATGTCAGTTATATGTCAATGAAAGGATTTATTTAGGCACATTGAAAAGCTGACAGAAACATTCTCTGAATGAAAACAGTGATGATTATCTTTTCTATTCGAATAGTTATCTGGTTCACAGAGACCATTTATGGAAGTTTCTCAATCAAAAATTTTCTGTATATGCATAATGGATGTACAAGACAAAAGCTGCCCAACCGCTATAGCAGTTGGCATCGCTGACTGCCATGCCGAAGGTCCCGGGTTTGAATCCTGTAGAAGGCATGGATGTTTGTAAATGTATAGTGTCCGGTGCCGGCATGGCGGATACCGAAATCAAAACTCAGCTATAAATCAATATTCCTAGAACTCAAATAACGTACAAAGTTTTAACACAACACTCTTTTTATTCTTTGTAAAATTAATAATTGCAATGTTTATATTATAAAACATCTAATTGCGAATAGGAAGACAACTCTCACGTTAAACTCAACATTAGAATATACCTTTCAATTGCCAGATTCAGAATCACAAAGTTACAAACGATAAACAGGTTAAGTTATACTGAAAATAATTATAAATAATAAAATAAAATAAAAATAAATTTAACACTCAGTTTTCTACATCCTTCCACCTTGAGTTGGGAGACTTCACAACTCAACTATCGCATTAAAAATTATGTCTTTCTGGTGTTTTGATACCTCTTTCAGATCGAGTTGTTACAGTTCGTGTAACGGGTTCTGCAGGATCTGATACTTGTGCTTGGGATACTTCAGAATGAGACACTTGCTTTCTTTGTATTTTAGTTTGTACATCCTGAGCCATTTCACAAGTAATCTCTAACGAAAACAACCCTTGTATCGGTCTCATTATTTCTCCATGAGCTGTCCGAAGTTTCGTGAGTCTGGCGATTCCTTCTTTTCCAGCAATAATTTCCATTTCTCATCCTAGAGGCCAGTTAATGCATTTCTGATTGTTACTGCCTATGAGAACAATGTCTACCGCAGATATCATTGACCTTTTTTGTGGGATAGGTCTTTGAATTAATGTACTCGGATATTCAGACCTGAATCTTTTCCTAACATCTTTTGAAAGTGCGAGTCGATATTTTAACCTTCTATTAAGGCTTTAGTGATCTGCAGCATCACAGTCTGGTATTCCAATTTTCTTGATGTCTTGAAGAAATAATGATGGTGAGAGAGGAGCAAAATCTAAGTCATTAATCAAAATATATGTGAGAGATCTTGAGTTAATAATCGACTCACAGTCACATTGAACTGTGATCATCTTCTCATATGATAAACAAGCACAACCTATCACCCTCTTTAATATATCTTTTATGATTCGAATTGACCGCTCCCACCAACCACCCCACCAGCAGGCAGAAGGAGGATTTAATTTCCACTGAGTGTTATTCAATTTATTCTTTCTCAGTGTCTGTTGTGTTATGATATAGATTGAATAGGTTGAGATGATTGGATGCAATTTTGATGCATGTCATATTGTCTTGTTATCAGGTTTTTGTTTCTTTATGAACTTAGCATTTTTATGGCAGCATGTGATATGGCTGCCTGCATATTATAACTTAGTATTGCACCCATAGTGAAAGGAAGTACTATCTCAGTAAACAAAAAGATGTCTGTAATAGCTTTCAGATATAATACAATAAAAGCGCGATTATCTGGCATTCAGCTAACTTCCAGTTACTAAGTTTAAGTAACTGGAATATTTTAGAGCTTTAGAAAGAAAACTTCTCCCACAAAATTTAATAAATGAGAATTTGTAATTCCATTATAGAGCTAGCAATACTGATACTGTTAACATATATATACATTATCACCAAGCAGTGTGATTTAGGGACAACATTGGACAAGCATGACTAACACAATCATAAGAGGCTCATTTTGGTTTAACATAAATTTCATTAGTTTTTGATAAGCTGGTTTAATTTTTGTAAAGAAGGATATAAGTTATACCTTTTCCTAGCATTTAAGAAAAATGATTAATATTTAGGATTTCATGTGGTGGACTATTTTCAAAGTTCCACTATCCGGGCATAAAAAAATGCCACGATTCGCGACTTTGAATGGCGATGTAACATAAAAAATTATGACAAGTGATTTAAGTTTTTTATGTGCTATATCCATAATTAGTATCCCTTTATTATCTAACTAAATAAAGAATGCACCAGGATGACTGGCAACATTTCTGCCAACTTCATATTTGGAGGGATTTCATAATCAGATAAGGCTTTTATAAGACCATGTCTTATAAGCTTTGTACATCTTATAAACTACATAGGAAATATGTTGGCTTTTCTAAGACTGAAATGTGGTTTCTTTTTTTTTAATCCTAATTTTAAATGTAGGTTTTTATATTCAAGTTTATAACAAAAATGATGATTATTTTTAATAATTTTTGAGCAGAAAAACTTTTCCTTAATTTGGCTTTTCTAACATGAATTTAGGCCCACCAGTAGCTGAATGCCAAATTCATTGAATACTGGTAGTTTGGTCTGTTGTTTGAATCCTGGTGCACAAGCTGGTGCATGGCCTTTTCATGGTTTTCCCCATGTTTAATGTGTATATGAGTCAATTTCTCTTAAAAATTCTGCTACAAAAGTATCACTTTCATTAGGCAGAAAACCCTCAACTGCTTTGCCATAGTTAAACCAAACCAAATCTAACATTAATTCTATTTCTAATATGCTCAACTATCCGGCACTTTCACATATCTGGAATTTGGCATTTCCCAAGCTTTCCACATAGTTGAACTTTTACTGTATGTGTCTTTTATCAGATTTTAAAAGTCACGCATATCTCGCATAGTGATTTACAATGATTAACCACTTGCGCTAAAAAGACGTGCCACACACGTCAAGATGCTTTTGTCTCAAACCGCGCACAAAAATGAAAATAACGTGGTGCACACGTTGCCTAACAACGAGATTGTTTATTTCTTGAGTTACAGCTCTGGATTTCACTCGTAGATGTGGAGCGTCGTTAATGAGACACTTTACCGCTTGTTATATTGTAGCACGGCACCGCAACCGTGAAGTTTAGTCGTAGTGCAAGTGGTTAATTAGATTAAATGTTGTACATGAAGATGTTGCATTCACAAGCCATTTTGTGAAACTTTGTATTACTATGGATTTCATTAAAAAAGTTACTTTTAAATACTAGTATTCATTTACTTTGTCCATTTTTCTTGCAAACTATTAATATAATAAACATGTTTATTTTTTATTCAGATAGGATTTCATTTTATCATGTATTGATTTATATGCTACACAATCAAATTTTATTATGAGGTCACCTTTAGGACAAGAAAAAATATATATTTGATGTTACCTCTTATCTGGAGCTGGAAGATTAGGCCATTTTTGATACAATTACGCATATTGCTTTATTAAGTGAAACAAAATTATAATTTTTTTTTTTTTTTTTTAAATCTGAAAAGCTTTTAGATTTTTTATTACACCCAAACAGGTATTTTATTCATTTACAGAAGCATACACGTTTCAAGAGCATTTGGGCTGATGCCACATTTTGCTAGAAATATTTAAAAACAGTATATCATTAGAATTTCTGATAGTCTCGTATGCTAGAGATAAAAATGTTTTATTCCTTACAGTGTTGCAACTGCTCGCTTTCAAATTAATGAGTTTTTTAAATAAAAAATTCATTAAAGTTTTACAAAATATGAATTAGACAATAAAACAAATTCCAAATTTGGGTTTCCAATAGCCTGTATTCAGGGAGAGGGCTATGTTATTTAAAATTTGATGACTCTAAATACCATTGTTTTTTCACAGTGCAAGAAACATGCATACATTCATGTAGATTCTTCATTATTTAGTTTCTTTAAATATAAAACAGAGCAATAATATTTGGTGGGAACAATTTGAAAAGTGATTTGAACATTAAAGTGATTCAACACAACATGCTGTTTTGAAACTAATAGCTTTGCTGGGTTAACACCCATTTGGGCAAATAATAATTCACATTAAGTACGAAATTCTATTTTAAAGCAATTATATGAAAAAAAATGAGATAATTCATGTCATGCTATTGAAAAAATATATTTGATTAATTGTTGTGAAATTCTTGAACTGTGCATTCATTTGATTCAAGCAGTCATCATCTTTTGAATTAAAATATATTTTTAACAATATTTATGCTCTCCAAAGCATCTTTTTAAATTAGTGTTTTTTAGAATTTCCCTCACTATCATTTTTGGAAGTTTCATTAGCATTATCACTAATAGCTTTGATTAAAAAAAAAAGCAACATTTTTGGCAATTATTCTTTGTCAAACAAAACTACAACACTGTTGCTGTTGAAATAAGAGTTATCATTCATTTGCATCATTTTTGGCCACTTATCAAAAGTTTTGCAAGCAGAATATCCATTTTATTATCAGTTTCTGAATCAGAGTTTCCAACAAAAATCTCGCATATTTGAAGCAATTTGTACTCAGTGGCATCAAGAACCAAAAGGAGGAAACTATCATTAGTAGCTTTGGTACAGTTTTTGATTTGGAGCTTTAGAAAAGGAAACTGCAAGAAGTTCCACAGTCTAGAGCATGCAGAACTGATATGACTTTTGGTAGAATGAATACAGTACACAATCTGATATCTAGACTTTTTGGGACCTGGATGATTTTGCTTTTGGGACTTTTTCATATATTAAATCCTTGATTGAAATCGAATAAGATGACAAGCAGAAATTATAAAATTAAAAGTATGAAAAAGTGGTTTATGAAAAAATGAAGCATTTATGACCTTAAGGGAATCAAAATTTACAAAAAAAAAAACTTATTACAGTCAAAAGTCATTAATCCGGACTCGTCAGGACTTCGCCGATTCCCGATTATAGATCATCATTTTAAATCTCGTAAGATGGCATGCAGAAATTCTAAAATTAAAAATATGAAACCATAATTTATGAAATAAAGAACAATTATGATCTAAAGGGTATCAAAATTTACAAAAAAAAAAAAAAAGCTTAATATTTATTTTTTTACTTTATTAAACATTTCTTTTAATGTAAGTTGTTTAAGTTGCTTCGTTTTATGTGATAATACTTTCTCTTTAATTCTACAGACAGACATAATTTCTTGTTCAGTTACAAAGTTCCGCTGTTCAAGTCCCGTTAATTGCTGTGCCGAGAATACCGACTAACTTGTCAATCGAAATTTTTTCGTTTTCACTAACCTCTTTGTCACATTCTTCATGTCTTTATCCATTTTTTGGAGCAATTCCACTTTTTATTTGTTGCACATCGAAACATACTTTCGTTTTGTAGATCCTTTGGAAGTTCCAGCATCGGAAATTCTATTTGACATAATCGAAATTTCAAGTTTACTTTTATAAAATTGCTCTTAAGTATGCAAAAAATAATAAGCGGGATCCAATTCGAAGATTAAGGAACAACGCAATCATTAACATTAACTAAAATAGATAATTAGTTAATTTTAGCTAATACCCTCCATTATACATAAAACACGCACGCGAAAATGTATTCTGCACTTGCATATGTGCAGTCGTAAAGGTCTTATACGCACGCATAAATGCCTATGCGCATGTGTCAACGCGGCGCATGTGCAGAAAGTTTTAGCTTTGAGGTCCGGATTATAGATCATTCCAGATTATGGGTGTCCGAATTAACGACTTTTGACTGTATTTATTTGCTTCATTTGTTAAACATTTCATTCTATGAAAGTTGCTTCATTTTCTGTGCTAATACTTTCTCTTCATTTTTAGAGATAGATAGTTCTTGTTAGTTACAGAGTTCCATAGTTCAAGCTGTTGTGGTTGCCATGTGAAGAATTTCAGTTAAATTGCCAATCAAAATTTTTTCATTCTCAAGAAACTCTGTATCACTGTCTTCACTGTCAATAGTGATATTTCCTGAATTTAGAACCATAATATAGATTTTGCCCTATATTATTTAATTGATAAGTAAGACATTGTCATTGCAATGAAAAATGTCTACTATATCATCTTCACTGATTACCGCTTCTCCACATTTCTTTACAAAATTCTTTAATTGGAGAATTTCACTTTTTATTTGCAATATCTGAAAAGCTTCGAATTTGTGGCTATCATCATAAAGATTACCTAGTGTTCGCCATACACTTTTGGCAATGTATCTTGAGATTGATGAATAAAGATATGTTTTTCTGCTAAATTTTATCTTGCTTTTAAATAGTATAAAATAGAAATGATATAAGTGTAAATTTTGGAGGAATTTTGTAATTTAATGCTAATTACCTGATAAATTTTACAAATAATTAATAGAAAGAGTTGATTTTATTCTGAAATTTGTTCTATAGTTATGTTAAGTATTAGATTATGTTTAAAAATAATGTATCCTACTTATAAATTAATTTTTTTGTGAGAATGGTATTACAAAAGTGAAGTTCAGGGGTAAATAATTACTTTAATTTATTCAGTTCTCTTTGCTGACAGGTCCTTAATTTTTTTCATCAATGGCTGTTAAATGTTCTTATCCGACCTCGTTCGAGTACCATTTTTTTAAAAATGGTTTTTATTTTAACTATAAACATATTAATTTGAAGATAAGCATATTAATGAGTGAAAACAATTTCAAACATAATGCTAAGTAATTTTAATTTTGAAAAATAATGAAAAAAAGGATAATTTTTGCTTAAATTTTGCCTTTACGGCAACAATCACAGTGAACAATGTATATATAAATATGCAGTTTTTTTTAAATTTGTATTTATATGTACACTTGTTTTGTATGCAATGAAGCAAAATAATTAAGAAATATTCATATATTCTTGAGATATGTCAAAATGTATAGTATTTACTGTATATTTTCCTATTATTGCATCCAAAATCTAAAAATAAAAAGTAACAATTCAACTTCTAATTAATATTTCTAAAATCATTTGCTTCAAAGCAATGCATCAGATTATATGAAACATGTATAGGAAGTATCATTAAATTTTATCCATAAAATTTTGAGTTATGGCTGTTACCATTGGCAATATTTACAGAAAAAACATTTTTCAGAAAACAAGTTTAAAGTTTTCATAAAACAATTTCTTAGTGAAAGAAGCATTCCTGATAATTAAAATTCCCCTGCTTTGTAACTTAACACCTTGTTTTTTTCTTCCCAAACTTTGTACCTTTTCTTTCGAACAAAGCGTAATTTTTTCTTTGGGTTTTTGTAAAACTTGTGGAATGCCACCAAAAGTCATGATTTTGCACTTTATCAAGTTTTCAAATTCCCTGCTCAGTGTAAAATTCAGGGCACATACCTAACCTTGAAAATGCTTCAAGCAAACCTATAAATCCATCATTGAATAACATTAAATAACCCAACATTTACATTTGCTCCAAACATTAATATTCGGAAGTTTATGAATGTTTCTTTCGGAACAATTTGCAATAAAATGCCATTAAAACGTTCCTTGATATTTTGAGTTTTGCCATGTAGACACTTTTTAGTAACTCTTGTTTATGTAGTCAACTCCATATATGTAGGTTTAATTAAATTCAAAATATATATTGATATACCAGAGGTTTTTGCCTAATTTTTTTTCTTTCTGATTTTTTTCCTGATTTCTGCGATGAACATTCATAGTTGCACCAATTCATTGATTATTGAGGAGGGCGTTGGCTTCGAAGAAGAGCTACAATGGAACAAGCAAGTTAGTACAACCTGCTGCATCTCAATTAAAGTTTCCAAACATTGACTTCTAATTGCAATTCCCTAATTCTGCAGTTTATCAATAAAAGAATCAGTCAGTTACCTTTTCCTTTCAATTCAGGAGCGGAGTTTTTTACTTTTCATAGCTGACTACCAACCTTTTTCTGTACACGTTCAATGCATTCCACTTTCTTGACCGAATCTTTACCATATATATATCTTTCACAATTAAAAACCCCTTAGAATCCATATCCTCATAATACTCCGTGTGCTTCAGCTTTCGTAATGTAATAGATCATTCAAACAGGGAATAAGCACCAACTATTTCCATACCCAAAGCTGCTTCTTTATAATTTGCAGAACAATTATATTACGCTTTACATATGTTGTGCTGAAGATTGCATGCCATTCTGTTTATTTTGTTGCAAATGATGCAGAAATGTGATATAGCTTTCAAATCAAGCACTTAATCAAGCAAGTCAACGCTAATCGACAAAGCAGCAACACATACATTCAACGTCGAATACCCTCTGCACCAAACTAAATACAAAATTAAGGGAAAAAACTAACACCAGATTCTTAAAATGTGTTACAAAATATCTAAACTTAGTACGCAGGTTTATAATTTACAAAATCTTGATGATAAATAAAGTTTCTAAATAGGTATATCTATTTAAACGCTCACTTCCGGCCCAGAATATTGAAAATTCCGGTTTATTCAGTTACAGAAAAATGCTTATAACTTCAGTTCTAATTAACCTATCAACAAGCAAAAACTTGTATTTGATAGCTAAAGATGTATTCTTTAAGATAATGTAATAAAGTAAAAATCGAAATTTTGACCAAAAATCGTCTTTTGTATGAGGTCGGATACCTTAAAAGTAATTAATTTCAGTGTGCAGAAATTTGTACGAACTCTGTGCTTCATTTATGTTTTTCCGAATTAAACTGATGCATAGATTTTACTTCTTTTGTATCTTAAAATAATAAAATGTTTTCATTGATTTTTGTTTTTTATCTTTTGGAAAAGTTTTACCCATTGTTTATAGTTTTTAATGCTTTTTCTTACAGATCTAGACCTGTGTATGAAAGATGTTCATATGAAGTTATAAGAGAAAGTAATAGAAACTATTTCATTGTTTAATAAAATTCTTATTTTTGAATTATTATCTAAAGTTTTTATCATATTTTCAAAAATTTGATATTTCAGATTTAAAATTGCAGTTTAAAAATAATAAATGCTAGCTAAACTACTGCATATTGTGATTTATGTTTTAATCTGTACTATGGCTTGCCGTGCCATTTTATATGAAGACAGTGATCTCTAAATATTCTTGTTCTTGTGAAGCAGGAATGACTTGCTACTGCAGAAGTTTGCAGTAATAAGCACATTTGACAACTTGTTTTAGGGCCCTGAAAAATACTGTCTTTAAAAAAGAAAGGGCCAAGAATGAAGTCAGCAGTAAAACCACACCATACAGTTACATAATCATAATGCAGAGGCTGTTTGTGCTGAACACTGGGACTTGCAGTATCGCATATGTAACAATTTTGAGTATTTTTATGCTCCATATAGGGTAAAAATCTGCCTTATCTGATCACATGCTCCAAGGCTATGCATTGTCAATAGTTTATTCTCACCAAAAACTGTCTAGGAAATGGATCACAGAATTTGTATCAAAGGTTGAGGATTAGGTAACATGTGGCACCAAAAACATATTGAAGAATATCTGGAACAGGATGCTTTGTCAATCATAACAGTGACTTCCTCAGTATATTCCATGGTAAAACTACAGTATGATACTTTTGTGGTGTCCCCTTTCTCTGATGTTCTAAGCATGTGCTTATTTTACTTAATAATTAATCCAGCTCTGTGCCTAGTGTCTTCAAATTTAGTATTCATCTTTTTCTAACCATTCCTTGATATAGGTCCTTTTTTGAAAGACTTTCAAACACCAATATTCTTACAGTACTGCTAAACTATTCCTACAGTTCTGGTACAATAACCTGAACTCAATAACTCAGTAAAACTCAATATTTTTTCATCAAAAGCAGGGCGAAGAATGATTTTATGCCATTAATCACAGGCATTTTAAAAAGTTCCTAATCTCCATAACATCTTTTTTGCATTGTGTAAAAAAGTGGATATAGTGGTTGAAATCTGAATTATTATTTTTTTTTATTTCAGCTTTCTTTACTCAGTTGAACATTAGAACTGCGTTAAAAAAGGATAAATTAATAAATCAAGAACAGTTTAACTCAAGATTTAACTCTTTATAAATTTATTTAGTACAATAAGTATTTTAGTGTGATACTGAAATTAGAAATTTAACTAGTCACCTTAAAACATATTAACTTTTTTGTAGTGACTGACGGATTTTGTGCAGACATGCCAGCATGAAATGAATTCATTTCCGAGCCGACATGTGGGTGTGACAAAGCATTTCCTCATTCATCCCCTAACTGTCACATATTCATGTCAGAGTTTGGGAATGTTTTAGAAACTAATATTTTTGGCACAAAATGGATATATGTAGATTTGACCTTCTACAGGATTTGATATACATCTACTATCTACTCAAAATGTGACAAAGATGACTCACCAATGCTTGGATTTTAATTGCATAAAGTTAGATTTCCAATGAAAATGTGGAAATCCAGAATCAGATTAAAGACTGAACTTTAAATTACCTTAAGTTTCATTGGATTTCTCGAATACAACAGAAAGCTGAATCATAAAGTTACATGAAGTTACACTGCATTGTTTGTTAATACTAACATGCAATTTCAGTATCAAACAAACTTTAAAGAAAAAAAAAAAAATGTGCTACTTAATGAAGAAAATCTATCTATGTAGGCTTAGTGTAATGTATAAAAATATCATCCAATTAAATAAATGGTAATCTTGACCTAAATAATGGAATTGAATATATTTTCAGACTATAAGTGGCTATAATTTGTATTTAATTACATTTATTTATGCTACTGCTTTTTTCTCATATACATCCTTTCCACTGAAATTTTAAAGCAAATTCCTGAAAATAAAATAAAATTATTAGTGTAAATGCCAGGCCTTGAATGTTTTGTGAATTTTCACTAATTACCTCATATTCATACCATTGATTTTGCCTTTTTTTCTCTTCAAAATAAAATAACAACACTAAATTTGATAGCATTCAAGTCTTCTACACTTTCCACCTTTCTTTTCTTTTCTTTCCTGACAACTAAATAGAACTTTTTTGGGAAGTGCTTATTAATTAGATTTAATTCTTCTTAATTAATTTTTATTGTCATAAATATTCTCTGAAATCTTAATTTTTTTTATTAATATCTAATTTTGTATGTGCTCATATACTTCCTAAATAATAAAGTTAAATTTTTATTTGTAGATTTTCCTTGCAAGCTTTATTTTGATTTGGAATTTAATCGGGACAGTAATCCTTCTAAAGATGGGAATGCACTGACAAAAATATTTATACAGGTGTGTGTCTGTATGTGTGTCAAAATATTTTTATAATTTTAATAAACATTTTCCATGTAATGTATTAAAGTAATATTACATCCTTTGCATGATGTCCCTTCCTGTGATAATAAATTATGAGTGATGTTTCTGAAAAATTGTTGAACATTTAAAAATATTTTCTGTAGTATATTTTATTTCAAATGTATACCATTATTTTTGTTAAATTGTTTTTGCCAGTTTAAACAATTCTGTATATAATTTTCACAAGCTGAAACTCACAAGAGAAACATATAAATATATTAATATATATATATATAAGTAGTATTCTGACAAGGCTTAAAAAACATACCTGTTTTGAATCTGATCAGAATGGCACTATAATAAATTATTATTATTATAATCTTTATGACCTGCAAATTCAATACTATATCCATCAAAATTTATAAAAAGTTAGAATTAGCTATGCAAAAGTCAAATCTGCTACATTCCTGCAATTTTTGTTAGTAATGAAAATGATTCTCTCAACCATCCTAAATGTATGGCATGCTTTGCATTGGGTCATCAGGAAATTTCTTTGGTTTTTCAATTCGAAGCACTTCTAAATTTTTTACTGCTGTAAAGTGTGACCTTCATCAAAAAGGATGTTTAAATATGGTATTTTTGGCTCATGTTGCATGTGTTGCAGCATAAGTCTTGTTTCAGTGTAGTGCTAAGAATGGAGAATCCAAAAAATTCATTCTGTTCATATTTTGCTCTTTTATTTAAAATAAAGAAAGAAAGAAATTCTGATCAGTCTGCTTATAAAATTTTTGCTGTATGTGGAGAAAGTGCTGTTTCTGATGACACAGTTCAAAGGTGAAGGTGCGTGCTTTGAGAAGTTTAAGCATGGAAATTTAAGCCTCAAAGATGATATTTTCTCTGAATGATATTTTTTTGTAGATAGATACTTGTGAAAGGAAGCTATTTCTTAAAAAATTCATATTATACAGGTCAGAAACTATCAGAAAGACTAAACATTCCAAAAAGTACAGTGCACTGTTATTTGAAGAAGATCCGATATCTGAGCTGTTACGATATTTGGGTACCCTTTATTTTAACAGAGCAGAGAATAATTGCTCAAGTTTCAGCATGTGATTCTTTGCTGAAAATAAATAAAGAAGCTCTTTTTTAATTGAATTGTGGATGCTGTGCAGTAATATTATACGATAAAGATCACTGGGTGAGCAAAAGGAACCTTCTTTAGTGACACTGAGAGGGGGATTGTATTCCAAAAAAGCAATGCCTTAATGTATGCTAGGACTACAAAGAAATTATGTACTATGAATTGTTCCACCAGATCAGATAATAATTTCAGAAAAATAGAATTCCCAAAAGGCAGTTTTAAAAGCAGAAATCTAAGCAAAGTGTCCAGAACTTACCAATTGTCGTATTGTCTTTCATTATGATGGTGCTGAGTTGCACATTTTGATGAACGTCAGCCAAAAACTTATCGAACGTGGCTGGGATGTTTTGTGTTACCTCTCATATTTATTATATTGTATTGCTCCTGCAGATTTTCATCTGTTCAGATCACTTCAAAAGGCATGGAATTAATTTCTTTGGAGATTGTCAAACAGTACCTCGATAACTTCATAACAAATAAACCTAATGACTTTGCAAAAAAGTAATTTTCAGCTGCCTTTGAGATGACAAAAAATCATGGAGCAATATGATGCTTATGTGATTTAATGAAATTTTCACAGGTTTTTGTACTGATTCATTTGTATTTATCATAAAAAAAAGCACAAAACTTGACGCAGTAACTGTATTTCTCTAGTATGTGCCCTGTCTGAAAAATAAGCACCTATTTTTTAAATTAAACCTATGAACTACTGATAAAAGAAAAAGTTGTAACACATTGATACAATATAGTTCAGATGCTGTTTAATATTCTTGTTTTAAAATAATTCTACTGAATATTTTCTATATAGTGCATTATTGCTGCTTTCTTAGAAGAACATAATATATCCTGTGATGCATCAGACATTTTATGGCTAGATGCTAGGTATGTAAAATTTAAGTCTTATGCATTTTGTGTTTAATTCTAAGAAATTAATCTGTTTATTTTCTGTTCTCTTAAAAATATAATAAATGCCATTACTCGTTTTAGGTTCTATATATTCTGTTCTTTTTAAGAAAACGTTTTGTTTAATGATTGCTTTTCATTTGTTAAAATTCACTTTTGGTTTGTTGTTGGTACCTTTAAGAAAGACCAACATAACATAGTGAAACATATTTTACATGCAGTAACTGAAAGAAATCTTCAAATGTTTTTGAAATTCCGTATGTTTCTCCTTAAATTAAAAAGATTAAATGTGTTCTCTCAAAGGGAGGAGAAATTCAGCATGTGATGAATATGGTTTACAAACAACAAGATCTTTCTCCAAACATATCAATGCTCAATAGTACTGTATTCATAGAAGTAAATTTTAGAAATTTTTTATTCCTAATATTTAATGCTAATGTTAATTATTAATGTTTAAGTAAAATATCGGGTTTTTAAGAAAAGTTTCTCGCCATCGCAAATATCGTCTGCACAAACAGTTTGCGTTGCCGTGTTTAATCATATTTTGTCAAACAATTCTTGGCATTTAAAAGAAAGAGACATGCTTTAGAATGTTGTGAAATTTGTAAAAAATATTATTGACTACAAGGTGTCTGAAATGAAACTGTCACCCTACCAAATTAGAACCATCATTTACTTCCAGCTCTGTTGCAAAAAGTCAGCTACAGAATGTCACCAAATTAAATCATAGACAAAAAGTCAATTGAGTTGATAAATTTTTGGTCTTATTCAAGGAGCAGCCAACGGCACAAACACACATACTATTAAAAAAAAAAGTGAATTAAAAGAATGACTTCAATCTGCAATAACCTCTTAAGTTTACTTTTCAATTTTATGAATTTCAAAACATTTCTATCCCCAAAATTGTAACATACTTATAATAAATCTGTCTAAATTGTGTTGTTTCAAAATAAATTCTTGTCAAATGATTCTTATGTAATGCTAATAACGTAGGCACTTACATATAGCTTCAGCTAGATATCCCTTTAAAACATGCAAATTATGACCTAACTATTGAATAATAAAGTGTAACCATAAGGTTACTAGCATTCATATTTTAATTTGCACAGTTTTTTTTCTCATCGTTTCTCTCTCGCTAGCCTGCTGTCCGTTGCTGCAGTTTCTTTCTTCAAGTTTTTTGCATAAACATCAGGTTTTAATGAAAGTTTTCTGCCGCTGCAAATATCGTCTGCGCAAACAATTCATGTTGGCATCTTTAATCATATTTTGTCAAACGATTTTTGGCATTTGAAAAAATTTGCACTGTATTGTGAAATTTGTAAAAAAAAAAAAAAAAAAAAAAAAAAAAAAAAAAAACATTAAGTACAAGGTGTCTGAAATGGAACTATCATGCTACCAGATTAGAACCACCATTTTATTCCAGTTCTGTTGCAAAAAGTCAGCTACAGAATGTGACCAAATCATACGTATAGCTTTAGATACTAATGTTGTATCATATCACACTGTGAAGGTTTGGTACCAAAAGTTCAAAAACAAGGACTATGGCATTCAAGAAGCAGAGCACTCTGGGCGGCCTACTAATATTGATGAGACCTGCCTATGAGAACTTGTGAAAAACGATAAGTATGCAACCACTCAAAAGCTTGCTAAGGAGTTAGACATTAGTGCCATATTCGTTAGTCGCACTCTGCATTGCATGAACTTGACATACAAGTTCAATTGCTGGGTGTTGCATGAGCTGACTCAAGCAGATAAGGACAGAATTGTTTGGGCCTGCACTAATCTGCTCAAATATCAACACAAAAGCAAATTCTAGAACGGATCATCACTTGTAATGAAAAGCGAATTTAGTTCAACAACGCAGGTCTAAAAGGGGGTTGGTCTTTGCCCAGTGATGACATCGGCATCTTCGGAAAGTGCAATTTGATTAACAAAAAGATCATAGTTTGTATCCGGTGAGATTGCCGTGGTGTTATCCACATAAAAAGTATCTGGAAAAAGGTAAAACCCTCTACAGTAAGGTTTACGATGATATGCTAGTCCGTGTTGACACTGTGATCTCTAACTGTGTTCCAGTGCAAAAAGTTAATGTTCCATGAAGATAATGCAAGACCATATTGCCCTGACATTCCTCCTTCAGACTTCTACTTTTTTCATACCTGCAGCTACATCTTGCTGGTGCTATCTTCCATTTTACACAATATATCTGAAATGAGGTTGATCTATTTTTGGACTCATGGCCACCAAGTTTCTGGGCCAAAGGCTTTGAAAAACTGCCAAAATGTAGGCAGAAAATCATGGATTTGGGTGGTGATTTCTATCTGTACTAAAGGTACTGCTTTTCGTGGGTTTTTTTTCTAACTTTATTAAGAACTTTTTTTGGGTAGAAAACTTTCATTACAATCAAATATTATGTATTTAATGTTATGAACCTATTAATAAATTACAGATACATCAAGTTGTATTTTAAAGTTATTATGTAATATTTGAAATCTATTAATTTAGACTTTTATATCATATACAAAAGCTGAAATTCATGAACACATATATTGCATAACAAACAAAAATTGCTAACTAAATATTACTCATTTTATAATTATTTAATAAAGCGATATTAATATACATTTATTAATGAACTTGCATAATACTTTTTTGCATAATGACTTTAAACTTCCACTTGTAAAGTGACTGCAAATATTATTAATTTATGATAACGAACACTTCTTTTTTCAAAGATAATATCATAAATATAGAACAACTAATTTAATACAAAAATTAAAGGAGTATTAATGCTTTTTAATAAATTAAATATTTAAGATTTTCAGAACACTTTGAATGTGCCAATTCAATAATTAAATATATCCTTAATAATGGGTAGCTGTTATGTCACAAAACACTCATAAGAATTTTGTTTTGGTTTTATGTGACCCCGCTCTTCAGTAACCAGGCTAGATTTTATAAGGATTTTTTAAATTCATTGTTATTTCTGTGTTTTTTCCCTTGCATTTTGGGGGGGGGGCAGGAGGTTAACATTTTGGACCTGCCTTCTACAGAATAGCGAGCAGCAGACTGTAAAGTTCATGAAAATTGCACAGTAAAAGACATTGTGGAACAGTGTGACATCACTTAGATTCATATTCAAGTGAATTTATGCAATATCCATTTCATAAAGAATGTGACAGTATTTTTGTTACTTTATAGTCCATTAGGGGTTTTTTTACTGCCAGAATGATTGGCACTAGTTTCAATGAATTTCTTCGTCAGATAATCTCAAAGATTGAGCTTGTAATTATTTAAATTTTAATATGTTATATTTGTAATTTGCATATATTGGTTTTCTAATTAAAGAGTGAGCCATCTGTGAATATCTAACTGAATAAAGAGTCATCTGATAATCTAAATAAAGGGTGATTTATGATGATCTAACTAAATGAACAGCAGTGTTTTCCTTAAAACTTCCACAAAAGTCATTGGTGCAATTTTGGCAGGATCTCCATCAGCTTTTATTAATAAAATGCAAAAGTATCTGAGAAACTTTCTACCCAAATTTGCTTTGAAACTGTTGTTGGCATTTTTGATTTGAAGCTATTTTTAGCCCCTTCAAATTTAGATACATTTTGCAAAAAGTAAAAAATTCAAACCTAATAAGTTATTTCTCTGGGTCTTAAAGCAAAATCTGATCATATTTCTCTTCTTTCTCTTTATGTGATTATTTAATGTGTAAATAACATTATATGGGTTTTATTTAAAAATTAATAATTCAAGCTTTTAATTTTATTATGTAAAATGTTTTAATGGTTGATTATTTTTGTTAATCAATCTGTTTTTCTATTTTTAGTTTAATTTTCTTACAATCTGTCCCTGCTGTTTTATTAATGTATTTTCAGTGCACACATAAACTGGATATATTTATAATTATTTGTTGTAATGTAAGACTTTTGTGGTAACAATTTAAAAAGAATTAAAAAATTGATCTGTTTATATTTGATGTGTATTTCCCCCTTCCATTGTAGTACGGATAAAAAATTCAGTGTCCACTTAATTTTGCCAAGGAAAGACATTGGGTTTGAGAACAATATTCAAGCTGGTAAGTAACTAAATATGTTTGTGCTTGTATTTATTTACATGTGATGATTTGCTTTGAAAGTTCTGGTTGTTTCAGTAGTACATAAAAAAATTACTTTTCTTCAAAATTAAAAGTTGATTATTTTGAAAAGTAGGTATCATTTATATCGGTGACCTTATTTTAATGTTTAGGTAGAGCTCAGATCCTGCCTTTGTTGACTGCATTTGAAGCAGTGTACTAGTTATCATTTATCTAGGCATTTGCTTTCTAATGAAAGCATGCCTTGAAAATTTTACTGAGCAACTAAAAATCATGGCAATTAGTCAGTCTGGATTATGCAGCAGATAAAGCAAAATTTCCCAGCTCAATTTCAGTAACTTCTAGCTTATCACTGCATTCACATACTATATTATAAGAATCAAATAGCTATGTGCTCTAAATGCATCTCAATAGTCTGCCAATATGATGTAATTGCTAAAGTATCATATGGCACAATTTTAATCCAGGAGTATGGACATGGAAGGAGAAAATTGGATTAAAATTTTGCTGTATGAGTTTTAGTAAGTTTATTTTTTTCCCCAATTCTTTAAGTCTGATTTATAAGTTTACCTCATTTGATTGTTTTTTATTTTTTCTTATTTGATTTAGTGTTTTGCATATTTAATTTAATACTTGCTTGAGCTTAGTTTTTTAATTTTATTCAATTTTAGTATCAATTTATTTAAATGTTTCAGGCTTTACTATTGGTTAGCTTGTAAGGATTATGTTAATTTTATTAACAGTTAAATTTTGAATTAAACTTCTTTCCTGTCAAATTCTTAACTTCAACTTAACTACTTCCGGCCAGACATAGTTTTAGAATCACGTCTGAATACATTATGAGGAGGAGCGGTATTTAAACACGTAGTTCTACTTGCTGAGTTAGAGAGAATCAGAGTTTCTGATTAGTGCGCGTACGCCTTTTTGGCTACTCTCTCTCAAAGCTGTTATTATGCTCGGTCGTACTTAGGCCCTTGATAGCTTTGCAGTCATCTCGTGTTTAAGGAGCCAACTCCGTTATAACTTTGATAGCTTCAGGTATATCTCTTTAGATTAGTTTTAGTTTACTTCTTAGCCTCTTAAGTTAAAGCCCAAGTGTCGGCTTTTATTGTACACTCCAAGATGGAGTTCTGTTAAATCTTATTTGAATAATAAAGGGTTATTTACCCTTCCATCTTGTTGTTTCTTGTCACACGAGCTCAAGCGATTATTCACTTACTAGTTCTTAAGATTCTTCATGTTCAACTGTAACATAGCATTTACAAAGTAAGGAACTCTAAAGTTAAATTAATTAAAGTTAAATTGATTCTGATTTTTCATTTTTTTATCATGTTTTCAGCCATTAATAGTTTCAAAAATTTACACCTGAAATGCCAGAAATTTCTGAATGATTTTAACTTTTTACTTTTTTAAAGTGCGAGTGTAAAAAAACTATTTCCAATTTCTTTCAGATTAAATATAATGACAAGTCTTCTAGTCGTGTCTAAAAATTCTCTTAAATTGCAAACTAGCCTTTCTTCAGTCCATCATAAGAGTCATATGTTAACAGTTATCCAAATTGAATTTGAGCTGTATAAGCTTTGTCTGGAACTTGCTAATTTGCATCTAGAATTGGTTGACATTGATCAAAGATTCTCGTCTACAACTGTGAAGGCAATTAACCATCATAAAAGGGCCCTTGCATTTAAATTCCCAAACCTCTTTCTTTTACAGTCTTCCAATTTAAATATTTCAAAAATCTTCCCATTGCAAACAGTAAGTCAACATTTCTAATGTTAGTTCGTCAGAGGAATAAAAGAGAATTCTGGAATATAATCTTAATTTCCCACTAACCTCAAAACCTTCGATTCCAAAGACTTTAGTTCCTATGAAAAAAAGCTTTCGAATTCAGTAAAGTTTCAGATATGCAGAAATGCATCTTATCTCCCAAAATGTGAAATTTAACTGCAAACCTTTGAATCCTAATCTAAACATGAGAGAAAAAGCTGCATAGTGCTAAATTCATTCTAACCCATACATTATAACTTTAAATACCAGCAAGGATGGCCAGATAGTCATCATGGACAAAAATACATATAGTGATGGTGTTGCTAAAGTATTAAACGTTGGTCCATATAATCTGATCCTTAAAGATCCTTTACTTCAGACCTCTCCAAAATAAAAACTGCAATTAAATCTTCACAAATCTTTCTGATGCAATTAAAAAAATCACTTAGCCCATCTGTGGTAAATGTTGTTTCAAATTAAGCGCTGGCTCATACCCATTAGCTAAATATTTAGTTTCTAAATTTTCAACTTTTTTAACAATTTTTAGTTAATAACTCTTACACTATAAAAAATTCAATACAATGTATTAAAAAAGTAAAAAGCATTTTTCTGTAGAAATTTCATCATGGTTTCTTTTGATGTAAAATCATTAGTAGCCAATGTTCCAGTGAAAGGTTCACTTAACCATCCAGAATTTAGATTTTGAGAATTTCATTTCTTCTGTATCAAAACTGATGAGTTAATTTCCCTAACTGAAAATCTGTCTGAAACACACTTATTTTGTTTTCCAAAGTAAGTATTACAACCAAACTTAGAAATTAGTCATGGGAAGCCCTCTTAGTCCTACCTTGCTGATATCTGTACGCACTATTTGAAATTTTAAACTTTTCTGTATTGTTCCGCTATGTTGACAATATATTGCCATGTTTGACAGTATAAAATGTGATTTTAATAATATTCTTTCTATAATGAATTCCATTGATTCTGCTATTCAATTCACTTTTGAACCTGAGATATCCAATTCACTTCCATTCCTCAACATCTTGATCAAATGCAACATATCCAACTTTATTACGACTGATTATCATAAATCTTTATCTGTTTGCTTTCCACCCCATTCCATGTCATTCGACTAAAGAAGTTAACTTTACTTTCCGTGCACTTCAGGTTTGCTTCTCCATATCAGCTCTTGATCAAGAACTGAAATACTTCAAAGCAGTTGCTACTGACAGAGACTTTTCACCTAAAATTGACCAACTGGCTAAAAAATTCTCGTCTCAACATATTCAAAAAGTGTCCATTTGTGTTAGAATTCTGTTATCATTCCTTTCTTTCCATCGATTAGCTACAAAATTGCATATATTTTACAAAAATTCAGCTTTCAGGTCATTTTCTCTTCTGTCAATAAAATTCATAGTTCCATACTAAGGACCACATACCAGATATAAACTCTTGAATTATATGCAGGCTTCCTTGCCAGTATGGTTTAATTTACAATAGTCAAACAAAGAAAGCCTTAAATTTCATGCTAAGGAACATAAGGTAATGTTAGGGAAAAAGAAATTCATAAATCGTCTGTTGGTCAAGAAATCACATTTTCCATTTTTCTGCAGCCAAAATTAATTAGAAAACATCTTCCGTTCGCTCCATATTCGTGTTTATTCCTTCATATTCGTGTTTATTATGATCTTAATTCCAATCCATCTTTACCTTCAGCTTTTAAGGAAATTATTTCACAAATGTTTTAATTTTTCATCAACAGATGGTGCCAGTAGCTTAATTTGCTCTCATTCTTATTGCCTTATCATTGGCTTCTCTTTCTTCATTTGCACCTCTGCAGTTGAAGACGAAGGTTGTATATTTAAACCTTTGAAACTAGTTTTGCAAATTTATCAATGTTACACTGATCCTTGTTGCTTTAATTTCTCCAATAAATTTTATATATGGTGACAACATTATATTAAAGAGTGCCAGAGATGCCTTCTGCTTGAGGCATGGAAATATTTTCTTCTTGATGCTGGTCTCGTTTTAATCAGCATCCTTAATTTTTTGCTTTAAAAAACTGTAGGGCAGTATTTATAAATTACTTGTGGAAAACATATTTTGTACCTTGTAACGTTTTGATTTCTGATCAGTACATTTTAAACTTCAAAGATTTCTGAAATTTTTAAAGTTAAAAAATTCTAGCCAAAAAAGAAAATGATGCTCTCACATAATGATGCAGTTGAATTAGATGTTTCAGAATCATACAAATATATCACACTTACTTAAAACTGCATGTCTTTAAATATATAAAATTTAATAATATAATATATTATCATGTGATATGTAATATGCATTCTTAAGTTGTGGCTTGCAAACTGTAAGCAATATATTGGTCTGTTAAATGCAACTCATATTGTAACAATCAATTATTCTATTTTCGAAATGTAGTTATTATTTAAAAAAAATTCAAGCTACAATATTTTTTAAAAATTATTAATTTAATTTTTTTAATTATATATTGCATATAGTGATTTTAAATCACTTTCAAACTGCACATCATTTACTAGTCTTTAAAATAATAAACAAAGGCCATATAACTCAATTTCCATAAAACATTACTTCTCGTGGTAATGCTCGTTTAATAATAGGTAGCAACTTTTGGGACAGAAAAGAGTCAAATAAAATTAAGTAAGATTTGAGGTAGATCATTAATGCAACATCTAAAAAAGTGAGCACATTTCAGTATACTCTTATATTTTCAATATTCAACTTTTCTTCTTTCGTTTTTTTTTCTCTTAAATAGCCTCCAGATCCATAAATTTATTGACTAGTATTGCATAGTTATATCTTTGTGTAGCTAGTGTTGTTATAGGTGTTTTCTCAACATGCCTAGGTTTTCTGCATGCAACAGACAGTATTTCTCAAATTTTGAAATCTGATCTTAAATTCTTTGCACAAGGCAGTTAAATAATTAAGAATGAATCAAAGTTATTTGCAAATACATTTAGATACATTGATGATATTATAACTTTCAATAATAGTTATGCTTTTGAACAATTCAAAATTTACCCAGATAATTTAACACTTAATATGACTCAGGGTTCGTAGCGGTCCTTATAAGTGCTTATAAGTCCTTATATTTGAAAATAAAATATAAAGGCCCTTATAGGTGCTTACTTTTTCTTTAAAGTCCTTATTTTTTTGTTTTTAGTGCTTTTTTTTTTTTTTTT